TGCTCCATAGGGTCAGCCCCTGCACAACAGCTCCTTCACTGTAGTCATGGCCAGTCCTCACAACCAATCAGCCCAAGAGTCAGTCCCTCCTATTGACATGCAGATGGCAACCAAGGCTCAACTACAACAGGAAGGCACACACAGCCCACACAAGGGACACTCAGGTGACCAGGGAGACTGTGTCACTGGCCCCCAAAGGACACCTACATAAGGACACTCTGTTAAGACCGGGAGACATAGCAGCCCTACCTAAAACATGGAAACAAACCCAGGGAAGCAGCCAAAATGGGGAGACAAATATGTCCCAAGTGAAAGAACAGAACAAAGCTCCAGAAAATGAACTAGACAAAATGGGGCAAAGAAATAACCATGGACAGAGTTCAAAACAGTGGTTATGAGGACAGTCAAGGAACTTAGTGAGAAGTCCAACAAAGAGATAGCAAAGCATAAAAAAGGGCATAGAAACCATAAAAAAAAAACAGTCAGAAATGAAGAATATAATAACTGGAATGAAGCATGCACTCGGAGGAATCACCAGCAGACTAGATGAAGCAGAGGACTGAATCAGCAATTTGGAACACAACATAGCAGAAAACACCCAAATGGAACAGCAAAAAGGAAAACTAATTAAAAAAATGAGGATAGTTTAAGAGCCCTCTAGGACAACATCAAGCATAATAACATTCACATCATAAGTGTACCACAAGGAGAAGAAAAACCAAGGAATTGAGATCGTATTTCAAGAAATGACGATAGAAAACTTCCCTAAGCTGGTAAAGGAAATAGACATACAAGACAAAGAAGTGCAGAGAGTCCCAACCAACATGAACCCAAAGAGGCCCACACCAAGACATATTATAATTAAAATACCGAAGATTAAAGACAAAGAGAGACTTTTAAAAGCAGCAAGAGAAAAACAGTCACCTACAAGGGAGCTCTCATAAGACTGTCAGCTAATTTCCCAACAGACACTTTGAATGTAAATGGATTAAATGCTCCAATCAAAAGGTATAGGGTGGCTGAATGGATAAGGAAAAAAAAAACCCTTACATATGATGCCTACAAGAGCCTCACGTCAGATCAAAAGACACACAGACTGAAAGGGGCAAAAGACGTTTCATGAAAATAGATATGAAATGAAAAAAAAAAATTGCTGTGGTAGCAAAATTTATACCAGACAAAATAGATTTTAAAACAAAGGCTATAACAAGAGACAGAGAAGGACCCAGTAATTCCACTTCTGGGTAATTATCTGAAGAAACCCAAAATGCTACTTTGATGGGACCTGTGCATTCATATGTTCGTTGCAGCATAGCTTGCAATAGCCAAGATGTAGAGGCAGCCTGGTGGTACACACATACACACACGCATGCGGGTGCACACAGGAATATTGCTAGGCCTCAAAAGGGAATGAGATCTTGCCATCTGCAGCAGCATGGGTGGACGTGGAGGGTGTGTCCTGAGCGTGGAGTATGTCAGACAGAGAAAGATGGATGCAATGTAATTTCACTTATAATTGGAGTCTAAAGAGCAAAATAGACAGACAAAACAGAAACAACCTCACAGATACAAGACTATTTTGATAGCTGCTAGATGGGAGGGGGGTTAGGGAGCAGGTGAAAAAGGGGACGGGATTAAGAAGTACAAATTGGTTGTTAGAAAATAGTCATGGGGATGTAGACTATAGCATAAGGAATATAGTCAATAATATTGTCATAACTATATATGGATGTATGATGGCAGATGGGTACTAGATTTATCGGGGTGATAGATGGGAGGGGGTTAGAGGGCAGGGCGAAAAAGGTGAAGGCATTAAGAAATATAGATTGGTAGTTACAAAATAGTCATGAGGGTATAAAGTAAAGTGTAGGGAATATAGTCAATAATATGGCAATAACTATGTATAGTGCCAGGTAGGTACTTGACTAGTCAGGGGGATCATTTCTTAAATTATATAAATATATATTATACTGCATACCTGAAATTAATATAATAGTGTCAATTGTAATTGAAAAATTTTAAAAGGGAGGAAAAGATGAAAGGTAATACGAGGTTCAAATTTCCAAGTATAAAACAAGTCATGGCAAAGTAATGTACAGCATAAGAAATATAGTCAATAGTATTGTAATGTGGTACGGTGTCAGATGGGCATATGAATGTTGAATAACTGGTGTACACATGAAACTAATATATTGTATGTTAGTTATACGTTAATAAAAATCTTTTAAAAAGAAAATTTTTCCAATTGGGAAAGATTTGAGTATGTTAATAGCTTAAGAAAAGAAAAAGTCAATTGAATGGGAGATAGTGAAGCTATGAGGGACGAGTAATGGTAGTAAAGGGTTTTGGAGAATGCAGGAGATAGTGGGAAGATTTATTATTGGAAAGGAGCCAGATTTTTCCTTGGAGCAGTGAGCAGGAGAAAAAAAAAGAGAAAGGACATTGGAAATATAGGGCTATTTTGAAGTTGAGGCAAGGGTAGTGATAGGAATTTTCATTAGATGGCTGTAACCTCATTCAAGTGGGAATGGAGATAAGGGAGGAAGATGGTTAGAATAATTGCCTTCTCACTGCTCACAATTATTGTTTCCATCTCCCAGTCATGTTTAGTGCTAAGAAAAAGTATATTCATAGGAAAGAAAGAATAATAATAGAATTTTGAGTAGTGTTACAAAATATATTTTTTTAAAGTCTAACAGGTTAAAGTTTGGAAATATGAGTAGGCTTTACATTTTTGTTGGTATTACATTATAAATTACTATTTAGAGTGTACGTTCTAATGACATTTTAAAAACAGTATTATTGAGGTGTAATTGACATACAATAAACTGTACATATTTAAAGGATACAGCTTGATCAATTTTGATATTCATATTCTTATGAAACTATAAAAATCCAGATAATGCATGTCCCATTGTAATCTCTCCCCCTCTGTGCCTCCCTGCTCCCCCCATTCATCAGTTTTGATAAGTTGTGTTTTCATTTTCATTCTGTTCAAAATACTTTCTAATTTTCCTTTTTCTTCTTTGACTCATAAGTTATTTAGAACTATTTTGTTTTCGTTTTTTAATTTTTCTACTATTTGAGGATTTCCCAGAGACCTTTCTGTTATTTCTAATTTAATTTCATTTAGTCACAGAACGTATTTTGCATGATTTGAATTCGTTTAAAACCATTGACATGTGTTGTATGGCCAATAATGTGGTAATTATTCACTGTGCACTTGAAAAGAACATGTATTTTGCTGTTATTGGGTGGAGTGTTCTGTAATTATCCATCGGGTCAAGATGGCTGATAGTATTAAAATCTTCCATGTTCTTACTGATTTTCCGTCTGTGTATTCTGTCAGTTATTGAAATCTCTGACTGTAATTGAATTTGTCTATTTTCCATTGCAGTTATATTAGTTTTTTCTTCATGCATTTTGAAGTATCTATTAGGTGCATAAATGTATAATATTGTTATATCCTCTTGGTAAATCATTACAAAATGACCTTCTTTATCCCAGGTAGTTTCCTTTGCTCAGAAATCTGTGTGTGATATTAGGCAGTAAGCTGGGGGCAGTTGTGGAGTTCACCATGTTTGTTTCTTGTCTGTCAGGATTCTTGTCCTTTGTGGCCTTATAGACAGTGTCTTGAAAACTGTTGTTACATATATTTTGTACTGGTTTCTTTTAGTTGTTTCAGGCAGAAGTATATGCCTGTTTTTTTCATCTTGGCCAGAGCAGAAGTCCAAAAATATTTTTACAATTAGTCATGGTGGTTCTTAAGTTTTTCTTTTTGTTTGCATTAGGGATACTTAGAAGAATCTGAGGAAAGGTATAGACCTTAGCCCCTCATATCTACAAAGGTTTATACATGTAAAGTCTTGGTTGTAATTTCACAAAGTTTACCAACTTGAGGTTTAATTCATCCCTGCTTAGGAATCCTTGCTTTCCAGTAAGCATTTTCAATGTGATTTGCACATTAGAATCACCTGGGAGAGTTTTTAAACAAATATCTAGAGCTGTGAAATCTGAATCTTTGGTGGTAGGATCCACACTTTGTTTTCAAATCTCCTTAGGTAATTCTAGTGTGCAGCCAAGCTTAAGAACAACTGTTTTAAGGTAAAGAATGGCAACCTCTCCACTTGGTTTCTTTACCTTCCCTTTGTTGGCAAGGATCCTAGGAAGGGGGGAATACAGGGTGCCACTGGCTCCCTAAACTCAACCTGCGTTGAATTGGGTTACTTTTTTAAAATCGCCTTTAAAATTCTACCTCCAGATTGTATATGGATTTTTAATGAAGGTGCATACAGAGAAGTTATAGTAAGAAACCTTTTTCAGTTATGTTTCACAATTTGCTTTAACAGAATGCAAAATGTTAGAATATCTCTATGGTAAATAAAAGACAGCTATCAGTTTACATGGCCCTCAGAGCCCGAGAGCCTATAAGAAATAAGGCTATAAATAAATAGGAATTTAAGTTTTCTGAAGCATTGGGTGTTTCTTATGTGATGTGCTTTGTATGTAGGTTTTATGCTATGTCAAATGTATATATGATTTCAATTATTGGTAATTCATAGTGAAAAATATACTTCATTTTGACTTAAGTGAGCCACAGTGCATTTAGCTGTTAAAAATAAAATTCCATAAAGCAATAAGCAACAGAAAATAGCATAGAGCACTCTTAATGAGAGAGGTCTGGTATAGCATGGACTCTGTGACTCCAAGACTGATTGATTTCACATTTGAGTCACTTCTTAGATGTATCATATTATGTAATGCATGTAGTAGTCAGTTTGGAATGCCAGCTACTTTTATGCAAGCTGATTTCTTTTGTATGATTTCTTTAATGAAAAATTTGAACATCATATCCATTTTGTGTATTAATCTGTTCAGTTTCTAAATCTTCTATTGCTTCTATATAAGTAACGGTGGATTTTTAACAGATTAAATGACTTTATATAAATCTAGTTTAAAACATTTTCTTCTTATTTATTGTAACCAAACTTTCCCTATAGCTGTGAACTTCACAGAAGTTAATGAAGAAAACAAAAACGACCTCTTCAGAGAAGTCTTTTCTTCCATTGAAACGTTGGCCTTTACCTTTGGGAATATGTAAGTAAAGAAATGTGGGCCTAGGTTTCTCGGTGAGCATATGTCCCACGATTTAGTAAATACATGTTAAGTAAATTATAAACCAATATAAAATATTATCACAACTTTGGAAAAGCTACATTCTGTGCTTTTTTTTTTTTTTTTACTGTATTTGGAGGTGTCTTTATAGCTTTTTAGAAGCAACATTCATTTGCAAGTGACTGTGGCTTATGTAAATAGATTCCTAGGAATTTATTTCTAAGGTCTAACAGAAAAATTTATTTTAGATTACATGTTGAATGTAAAGCCTGTGACAGAGCAATGTAATGACTTGTCTTTTTATTTCTGTTTTTTGTTTTTAACTTCCCTGGATAGCCTGACAAACTTCCTTATGGGAGATGTGGGCAATGAATCATTATTGCGACTGCCAGTTTCTCGGGAAAGTAAGGTAAGCCAAGTGTGAAAGCAAAAGCTTTAATATTTTTAATTGAATATTTCAGTAATTTCCTAATCTTAATCTCAGCATTACTCTTTGATAGTTTTGAGTTTAGCAAGAAAAACTGATCAGTTCATTTCAAATACGATAATTTAAGGTCAGTTTCTGGAGAAACAATTTAATTGTGCTTTTTAAATGGAACTATCATTTAAAAGAACATATCCATTAATTTTATAGTGTTTTATGTAATGAATCTATATGTTATGTGGTCTAAAATTTTAGTAAGTAATTGTTAACCATTTTTCCTTCCTGACATTGTCACAGATCTTAAAAACTGGTGGAAACCTAGAAAAAAAAAATGCAATAAGTAAAGAGGGTATGAATCTTCTCACACATCCTACAGTTTAGTTTGTTTGTTACCATGGAACATTATTAACAGGCCTGCAAGCCTGTCAGAGGATTGGGGTTCTGATTCCCAAATGAAAGAAAAATTTCTATGAAATAATAGAACATAAGAAATATATGTAANTTGTGTATACCTCCTCGATAACACATTATCAGTATAGTATAAGACCTCTGTGTATACCTTCTCAATAACATTTGCCTTAATCCACCAGAATAAGCCATCATCCTGAATTTTGTTAATCATTCCCTAGCTATGTTAAAATGTTTTGGTACCTATACCTGGTTGAACTTTGCTCGCTTTGGAATGTTCTACAGATGGAATTGTACTGTTTTTTTGTGACTTCTTTTGTGCACTTTTTTTTTTTTTGAGATCCATATTGATGTAAGTAGCTGCCTTTATACTATACTCTGTATAGCATTCTATTCTGTGAACATTATTGTCAATCTTTTGGATTGTTTTGTAGTTAAGTGCTATAATGAACACCATCATTAACACCAATTCTTATGCCTGTGATCACTTATTCTTATTATTTTTTTACAAATGTACTTTAAGGTCCATACTTTGATAATCTCATACTCCTTAGAGAGGCAGAGTAGGTGTTTTGAACTGTCTTAGTGGCTTCAAGGAGAGTAACTTGCCATGAGTTATACAGCTAGCAGGAGAAGAAGGTAGGTAGCACTTGAACCCATAAGATTCTCACTTCAATGTCCTTTCTTCTCCACTCCTGTACCAAAGACTGCGTCAGTCCTGTTCTTCCTGGCTCCATCCCTACCTCTTCATTGGCACTGCAGGAGATAATGCTACAGGATATAACCACAAAGTCCAAGACATGTTTTTTTTAGTGTTCTACATAGTATAGAAATTTTATTCATGTGAATAAATGTCTTGAATTTAAAGTTAGAAATAACTTAATATTGCACTGGGGTTTGTAGGATTACTTTGTGTCCTGTTTTAAAACTAGCTCTGTTCAAGGGACACCTTAGAGACTGAGCATAAATATTTAACTGAGTATTTGTAATGAGTTTTGTAAAAACAATGTGGTTCCAGCAATCCCCAGAAATTAAGACCTGTTCTAGAGCAAGCCCTAAATTATTTGGAATCCTGTAAGACTTCATGTTAAAAAGACAATGATTTGGAAACTGGTCACATGATAAATGGGTGAAGACCTAGGGATGCCTATCCTGGGAAAGAGGAAACTTGGAGACATGACATTGGTCCTCATATATTGGAAATGTAAAGGGATTAAAATTAGAGTGCTTTTGTTTCCTCCTTTAGGGAAAAGTATGACCTAAGACTAGAATTTATAGGAAAGCAGATTTCTGCTCAATAATACAAGGAAGCCATTCTACAATCAAAATAGTTCTTAAATGGAACGCATGACCTCATGATTTCTCAGTCGTTGGGGACATGTTCATAGCAAAAACTAGATGACTACCTTTTAAGAATATTGTGCAGAGGAATCTTTCTGGGTCAAGGTTACTGCTTTAAATCATTTGTAACTCTGAATCTTGGACTGTTAAGGCCTTGACTTAAGTGAATTATTCCACTTAGTTGTAGCCCTGTTTGTAATATCAGCAGGGAGCAAGTGAACCTCATTACCTCGTTGGGCTGCTTCTGAACATGCGTTGATACACATGGCAGGATCCTTTGCTCCCCATTCTTGCCAGGAATCATTGTTCCTGCTTTCCAGTCTTCTGTCTTCCTGGTAACATAAATGTAATGTTACTATTGTATTGCTATATTTAAAGATTTTTGTGTTCTTTACAAAGCTTTAGGTTATATTGTGTATATTTGTTTATAACTTAATTCAATAAGCATTTAATGACAACTTTAGTATTGTGCCAGCCACTCTGTCAGGTATTCGATATAAGACATGAATAGAAAATATTCCTTGTTCTGTAAAGTTTACATTCTCTAGCACTATAAGAAGTTGGCAGTCAAGTTCTCATTGGGATGTCTAATCCTCAATTTTACATTTATTTGAACAAATCAGTTTTAGTTTAGTTCTCTTTTGTTCCCAGGAATTCCCTGTATCCGAAGCCTGAAAGTGGAAGCACATTTTGTACATTGTAGCTAATAAAGATAGTATGACTGTGCTGTTCAAACAACGTTATCATGACGCAGTCATAAAATTCTCCAGTGCATGATCAGATAATTGTACCCATAATTTTCTTTCAGGAGACTTTCATCGAAAACTTCCACGAACTCCGTCCAGTGGAACCATGTCTTCTGCAGATGACCTCGACGAAAGAGAGCCGCCTTCCCCTTCAGAAGCTGGTATTGACAATTGCTGAATGTCACTGAATCAAGTTCTCACTAAACCGGTTGAATCAGTAGCACTGCATAATATTAGGAAAATAGTGTAATTTAAAGAATTACTCNTGAGTGAGCAATACCAGAAAACATGCAGAATTACAGCATGACCTTGACTAGTAACATTTTCTACTATTCATTTGGTCATTTTCCCTTTATTAGGCATTTAGGACACTGCGTTACACACTGGAGACCTAGAAGAAAAGGATTAAGTCCCTGACTCAGAAAGCAGATTGAGGGACAAAAAGGTCTAGAGACTTGATGATTTTTTAGGTACCTGTGAGCCACCCTGCAGTTACGATGCCCCACAAGTCCTGCAGGATCTACCCCACGGGGACCTTATTCCTTAGCATTTCTGTTAAGTGAGGGAAAAGGCTGAGTAATTTAGGGAGAAGAGATTTTAAGATTGGGCTACCTATATACATATATTATTGCTTAAGTCCATTATTACTAATAAATACCCAGAGACAAATACTCAGCACATGAATCTATTATACCATTCTATTCATTTGGCTTTTCAAATTATTGGTGTTTTTAACTAGATTCATAAAATTTATTAAAAAGTATAAAGAATGTACAGTTAGCTTTTGGATCAAGAGAGTGAGTTCACGTTACCATTAACGGGAGAATTCCCTGATCTTAGCCAGTTGCTGGACTTAAGTTTTACTATCAGCAGTTTGGATTTCCTTTGTTCCTTGAAAGAGTTAGGGCACAAATAAGCTATTCTGTTAGGTGCACTTTTCAAATACTATTTGTGCTGAGTCATAGTTATCCTGAAGAATGCCTGTCTACCTTGGAAAGGACTTAGAAGCTAATAAAAAGTTGACCACATCATCTGGTATATCAAGAGATAGGAAGAGGAAGCATGGCAGTCTTTGAAATAACATTAATCCAATCAGATATGCATTCATTCACATTCCCCACACAGGAGTGGAGTGACATTTTAAAAAATAAATCAGATTGTGTTATATAGCTTTTAACACTCTTTAAAACCCTCCGCTGGCTTCCTGTTATACTTAAATCCAGACTCATTAATGGTGGTTTAAATGACTGCTTCCCTTTCTGGCTTCACCTCTTCAATGTGCTTCAACCATATAACTGTCCCCTGTTTCTTGAGCACAACAAGCTCTTTCCACTCACTCTTGCCCTAGGATCTTTTGTCTGCTTCTTCTCCCTGTAACTCTGCATTTGCTCTTTCTTATATCAGGTCTCAGTTCAAATGCTACCTCCTCAGAGAGGCCTTCATTAACCTACCATGTCAAAAGTACCCTTCCACAAGCACATACCTTGTCATATTCCATAACCTGATAATCTTATATAGTATTATTCACAGTTTTCAGTACCAAAAATGATCTTATTTACTTAATTGGTGTTCTTGCCAATGCTATCCTCAGGAGAACATAAACTCTGAGTACTGGAATCTCATCTGTTAATTTGCCATAATATACCCAAAGCCTACGTTTTTATGAATATTAAATTAGTTAAATCATGTAAAGTTCTCAGAATGGATCTGGTATATTATAAGCACCTGTCAGCTGCTATTATTGTTATTGTTGCTGTTACTATAAGTAGTAGTAGTAGTAGTAGTAGTAGTAGTAGTAGTAGTAGTGAGAGTATATTTAGTCATTTGTGGAAACGCAACGGAATAATGTATTTTTAATAGATTCAGGATAATACGTAATTATAAAAATTGAGTACTGTAGGATACATTATACATATAAAGCATTTCTATTTTCATAGGATTGTGAAAGTCAAAATAATAGTGTTCTGATTGGAATCTCCCCTTCCCCCGGAGCTCAGAATTCTCAAAAATACATTCATCTAAAATTGTAAACGAGTAGGGACATGGGGTTATATTTTTTTAACTTTTAGGTTTAAAGCAAATTTTGCTGGAAATGATTGCTCTGAGATATTGGGTTAAAACTTTTTTTCCTCCTGATCTAGATTGTGCACAAAGTCAGGCAACATAGTATGCTCACAATGCTCTTCAGTGCTTTATGCGTCACTGTATGGCCTTTTTCTTGGTGCTGTCACTTGAAATAAATGTTTATTTCCATAGCATTCTATGTATCATGAGTTATTTTGCCTTTTNTTTCCTATTCCTGTACATCTATTGTGCACACATATTATACTAATCCTTAATATGAAAATACTTTTTCCTTTCTTTTTCCTTTTGTACCTAGTTTTCCTGTTTGCAATTTTTAATTTACTCCAGAGTTTGAAATAAAGCTCATGATATAATATTACTAATAAAATTAAATTACTTTGTTTGATGAAAAGTTTTGGAAAATATCTTTAGAAATAGTAGTTGCCATTTATATAATAGTGCTTATTATGTACTATGTACTGTGTGAAGACTACGTCATCTCAATCCTTAAAATAGCCTCATGAAAGTAGTGTTCTTATCCCTATTTCACAGATGGGCAAACCAGAGTTAAGTGAGCTTAAATGTCAGCTATGTCAGCTAACAAGTGATAGACCTGGACTTCAAACCCAGGCCTCTTTGATTGCTTTTGCATTGAATCCCTTCATTCTCTGTATTGCCCAATTAAATAGATCAAATTTGTTTGATATCTCACAATTTTGGTAGATAATATTTTCCTGCACTGTCTAATAAAGTAGCTTCTTGCCACATGTAATTCTTTAAATTTAAATTAATTAAAGTAAATAAAATTAAAAATTCACTTTTCATTTACATTAGACACTTTTCAAATGCTCAAACTACATGTAGCTAGTAGCTACCTATTAGACAATGCAGATATAGAACATTTCCATCATCATAAAAAGTTCTGTGCTAAGCTCTCCTATAGACTTTCCGAGAAAATGCTAATCATATAATAAAATGGTAAGAGATAGCTGGAAGAGACAGGCCTTTGTTTTCTATTTAACTAGCAACCTATTTAGATTACTTCTATAATTTCCTGGCTAATATTTTTGAGACCTGCAGAATTTAAAGTTTTGAATAGATTCATTAATGTTAATTAATGCTGTTAGTAACGAGGTTATTCATTCTTGGACCTTGAGAATTGCTGTTGTAAAAAGCTATTTAATTCTCATAAAATGTTCTGGCATTTAAACAGAGTTCTCAAGCCCTTTGCATTCTAAATACTTGAAATTCTTTAGCAGGAATTATGTCAGAGTAACAAATTAGAGTGAAAAAATTGTGAAGCAAAGATCTGTTACCTTCTGCTCTAATCTTAAATTTGTTTTCTTCCATGTTGTAAGTCTTTTGAAAATGTTTCTGTGGAATCAGTGGACTCATCCAATGAAAAAGGTAATGCTTAAGGTACTTTAAACTTTTGTCAACTTTTTGCAGCTACTTTCGATAAATGTTTTGCATCTCTTCTTGCTTAGTAAATTAATGCATTTTAACATAAACCAATTGGTAGAGTTATACATATAAAACTTAAGGGGAAAAAAAAAATCCCTGCTAGAATAGGTAATGTGATGATAGAGACTGATCAAGAATTGTCTACGGCTTGTTTCTTGATAAATAACAGAAATACACATTAAGATCAAAAATATAATTTGAAACCATTTTAATTTTAAACTATAACCCTTTAATTTCTAAATTTGTTGCTTGTATTTTTTTTAACCAGTTTTCATTGAAGAGCACATAGGATTTGAATACCTTTTTGTTTAGAGTTACATGATTATATTTAATATATAGTTACCTTAATATTTCTATTTTCAGGAAGTTTTTCTCCTGTAGAACTAGACAGCATGCTGTTAAAGAGAACTGACTGTATAGAATTGGCTTTGTCGTATGCTAAAACATGGTCAAAATACACCAAGAACATAGTGTCATGGGTTGAAAAAAAGCTTAATTTGGGTAAGTGGCCCTTTGGGGCATCTGATTAACTTTGGAGGGTAAGAACTAAATTGTTTGCAATTCATTTTGTACAGACTATGAGTAATATGTTTCCAAATTAGTAGCTGTTTCATTGTAGTGAATAAAATTATTGTCCATTTTCCCTTTTTGAAATAGGAAAGACTCTTTTTACAATAAATGTACTTATTGAACATTACTGTAGGGCAGCCAACAAATAGTATACTGTCTGTGCCTTTAAGGAAGTCATGCTCCAGTGGGTAAAAAGAAATGCCATCAGATAATATGGTAAAAGGAGATAAAAGCAACAATGGGTGTATAAGCTAGTAGTTTCCTAGTGTTTATGTTTGACAGAATGCTTTCATAGCCATTATCTCATTTAATCCTTACCAAAACCCTGGGAAGTAGGCAAGACAAGAATTATTATCCCTATTTTACAGCTGAGGCAAACAAAATAGGTGATTTGCTTGACGTCAGATCACAGGTTTGTCTAAGATCATAGCAATAACTGAAAGAATATAGAATTGACCCAAAGCCTGTCTCTTTCTACTCCATTATTTGTTTTTAGTAGGGAATGCCCATCAGAATCACCTGAATAGCCTTATAAAAGGACAATACACAGACCTAGGTCCCATTCCCCAGAGTGGTGACGTCTAAGCAAGTGTATTTTGAAAGTTTCCCAGTTGAGTTTGGCAGACACTTTTGATGAAGAATCGCAGCATCATATCATGTTGTGGACTAGTATTTGTGATCACTTTTTACTTTGGAAATTACAAATAATTTTAGAGTATGGAGGGGAATAATAAGTTAATTTTATCTTCTGAGGCCTTCTTTCACATTTTCAGAATTGGAGTCCACTAGAAATATCGTCAAGTTGGCAGAGGCAACTAGAGCTAGCATTGAACTAGAGGTAAGTGTTCAGTGAACTGCTAGGGTTCTATACCAAGAGATGATTCAGATGAGCTCCTGATTGTGCCTTGCAAAATCAGAAAATTTCAGTTAATATAGGAAAGACCTTAAATGCTAAACTTTTTATTAACAAAATAAAATTCTTTGAAATTTACCTGGATACCCATTATGAAAAAACTAGGAAATTCACAATTTCATATGAATGTTGATTATCTTGTTAGCTACTAATTTTGCTAACTAGTTTATAATTAATTATAATGAATTTTCTTGAGTATTTTTCCCATAGTCATATTTATGACTAGTCATTTAATAAAAATTAAAAAAAAACAGTCTAAACTTAAAATTTCTCTTTTTAAAGTAGAGTAGTGGAGGGGTCTAGCACTCTAGTGCCATTTCTATTGGAAAATTTACTTTTCAATTTTAAATTGTAGGAATTTATGCCACTGCAGTCTCTTTTTACCAATGCTCTTCTTAATGATGTGGAGAGCAGTCATCTTTTACAACAAACAATTACAGCTCTGCAAGCCAACAAATTTGTACAGGTAAAAATTTATATACACAATTCACATTTTTTTGACAGTAGCATACCTTTAGAAAACAGTGGGGGTTTTTTTTTTCTTTCTTTTTTTAAAATACCCTGCCTCCCCCGCCCCCCCTTGTTTTTTTAAACAGCCTCTACTTGGGAGGAAAAATGAAATGGAAAAACAAAGGAAAGAAATAAAAGAACTTTGGAAACAGGAACAAAATAAAATGGTTAGTATTATAATGGAGCTTTATCTACCTATTTATGAACATCTAAAATCACCTGCAGTATATATTAACATCTCCCCTGGGAAGATGAATACCTTACTCCACAGTTCTTCTAAAATGCTATATTAACCATCTTGCTGAATATGCTAACGAAACGTATACGTTTCTTTATTATTATTTCTTGTTCTGTATTTAATAATATTCTTTTTGTGTAGCTTGAAACAGAGACTGCTCTGAAAAAGGCAAAATTGTCATGCACGCAACGTCAAGAAGAGTATGAGAAAGCAAAATCTTCCATGATTCGTGCAGAAGAAGAGCATCTCAGCTCAAGTGGTGGATTAGTAAAAAACCTCAACAAGCAGCTAGAAAAAAAGCGAAGGCTGGAAGAGGAGGCCCTTCAAAAAGTAATGATCTTTTTTTGTTATTTGCAAGTTGAATTAGCGGTAACCTGCTAAGGCTTTGGTTCTCGAACTTGACCATGTGTCAGGATCACCTGGAAGGCTCATTGAAACAGACTGCTGGGCCCCACCCCCAGAGTTTCTGATCAGTAGGTCTAGAGGTAGCCCCAGACAACTTGCATTTCTAACAAGATCCCAGGTGATGCTGCTACTGCTGCTGGTGGGGGTCCACACTTTGAGAAGCACTATGCCAGGAGACTTTTGTTTATATTTTAAATTATAGGGTTCATTTGTGAAAGAAGTATCTTAGAGAAGCCAGTAGTTTAATATTTTTGACTTGATTATTTAGAAAGTTCACCTTTTAGGCCACTGTGTGTATATGTGTAATAACTCCAGTACCTGACAGCAAGGCTAAGCTGAAGCTTTGTATTATTTTTGAAATATAATTTGATAAACAAATTCTGTAAGAAGATTATATAGAAAACGGTAAATGTCAATAGAAAATGCTGTTGAATAGACGTGAACATCTATTTAATATGCAAACAATACACTAACTGTAAGTTGGACTTGACTGTCCATTATAGTCAAGTACCCTTGAGTCACTGACCAGAACAGATTATTTGTTATCTTTAGAAATACTGTATTTAAAATATAGAATATTTCAGAATTTTTGTGCATAAAGGCTTTTTAATTATTTAAATTGAGCTTTACTGCAATAAGTATTTATTTTAAAATATAGATTCTAGTGATTAGTGTAATTTTTTTCTGTGTGTGATATTCCCAAAGGTAGAAGAAGCAAATGAACTCTACAAAGTTTGCGTAACAAATGTTGAAGAAAGACGAAATGATCTAGAAAACACTAAAAGAGAAATTTTAGCACAACTCCGGAAACTTGTTTTCCAGTGTGATCTTACCCTCAAAGCTGTAAGTAATTTCTTCAGTACTTTGAAGAAAAGAGGGAAAAAAAGTCTATGTATCTGCAGAAGGGAGAGGGATACTTGATGAGTCATGACTATTATGAGATTTAATTTCTGAGATTAATGGAACATTTAGAGTTTGAAAAGTGACTTTCAGTTTTTAATAGTGGTATATGGTTTGAGTTACATTTTTATCTGGTTCCTACACACACACACACACACCACATGAATAGATGATTTGTTTGATTAAAATAGAAATCTGAGACTTTGAAATTGCCTCTAAGACACTGTCTTTCTTGGGTTGGTTGTCAAAATGGATTTGACCCATAAAACTTTTTA